TTTTTTTACCTGTATTTTAAATTACGCATTGTGTTTTCGGGTTACAGGGTTACAAAGGATGATGGATAATGTCCTGAAAGATTTTCCATTTTTCTTACAGTGTACTAACTGATCAACAATCGCAGGTACAAGCTACTAACAAAGTGTATCATAAATGAACAATTATTCAATTATCAAATTATTCAATTATTATTATTATTAAATTGAACAATTGCAAATAGCAGCTAACTCAATTCTCGTGATGTGTGTACTGCTAGGCATCTGTGGTTTCCTCTTTTTGTGTAATTTGGATGGACAATGTGTGCCTTTTTATTGTCTGAGTCCTTATCAAAAGTTGTTAAAAGTTGCCAAATAAATGTTTAAAATTGCTAAATTTGTTGCTAGGTGCTTTTGGAAGAAAAAGTTGCTAGGGTAGTCTGAAAAGTTGCTAAATTTAGCAACAAAATTGCTAAGTTGGCAACACTGTTAATGATACCTCAAATTAGGCAGCTTGTTCACTAAATGACGTAACGGACAAATCCCATAGAGTTACGTTAACCCTCATACTGCATTCAAAATCTGTATACGATTTTTGCATTCCAGGTCCATTTGGACCAGAAGAATCATTTTTCAGTTTATTAGCAGCTTCTCATTAATGAGTGAATGTGAAATTTTTTTTACCATGTTTTGAATATTAACATGTTATCACCATGTTCAATATTGATGAGATTATTTGAATATATCATTGTATTAAATTTATAAGAACCTATAATCTGGGAATTACCAGTATTAACCCCATTGGAATGAATGGAATTTAATACAATTCCTTGTCTTTATAACTCAGGGTTGCTCAAAAACAGTCCAAAATGATGAAACCTACATATTTATTTCTAACAAAAACAATTACTCCGAAAAGTAAAAAACAAAACAAAAAAACATTTATTTTACTTGCTTAAATGTTCAGTTTCAGATGAAAAAAGTGATTCATTTTTCATAACGTGACGGTTTGTCAGTAGGTGTAAGAAATGTAACAAAATGCATTCCCAAAATCGTGTGAGATATGGGGAAAAGGCTAAATATGTTTTACAAGAGTTTTTTTTTTTTTTTTTTTTACACTAATCTAACTTCATAGATAATTTAACATTATTTTGGAGACCTAATGGTACTCCATCCATGTACCTTTTTTAATGGTTAATATCTCTTAGAAAATAATTGTAAAAAAAACAAAAAAAAAGGGTTGTGTATTTTGAGAGTCTGAAAACACTTGCTAAAATGTGTTCCCTTACAAAAAAACGATGCTGTTTTTAGAAATATTAATGTATCTCACAACAACATTTTCATATGAATATGTAAAAATATATTACAGATCTTGTTAACGTAATTGTGTAACGTTTACGAATGTTCCAGGAACTGTCAGATACTAACAATGATGCTGCGCCAATTCAGTTTCCCAACCATCTCCCTGCACTCAATGATGAAGCAGGTAAGTGACATGCTACATAGTTCAAATTGATTCTCACTCAGCGCCTAATGTCTATACTAATGGTTTTTATGTTCTTCCATCTTCAGAGACAGCGTTTTGCCAACCTTGCAAAGTTCAAGTCTAACGTCTTTAAAATTCTCATAGCCACAGATGTTGCTGCAAGGTACAGAGAAAACACTTCTCTTCGCCATCTCTTTGCCATTGTCTAATTCTCTCCACTTTCATGTATCTGTTCTTATCTAAAGGGGTTTGGATATTCCTACGGTGCAAGTTGTTATCAATCACAACTCACCGGGTTTGCCAAAAATCTACATCCACCGAGTGGGACGAACCGCTCGAGCTGGTGAGTTTAGAGCTCTGTTAACAGTGAGGTATGAAGAGTTAGCTGTAAGAAATAAGAGAGGTTTCATTAGTATTCGTATCACTGTTAAAATAGTATTTTTTGATCAATTATGCAGTCCTGTTTTCACTTCATAAATGTCACTAGTAGGCTGGAACACTATATTGTCAAATCCACATTCAGAACTATTTTATGATGTCCTTTTTGTTTTGTCAAGGCCGAAATGGTGTAGCAATCACACTAGTCACACAGTATGACATCCATCTCATCAATGCCATTGAGGAACAGATCCGTAAGTTCAAACCTAAATCCTAAAAAGGGCACGTTCAAATCTAATTATATTCTGTATTGTGATAAAAGCACCGTAAATGCTTGTACGAAATTTCTTGCTGTAAGTGTACTTTCGCTTGAATACTGTTTTGTGTGTTTAGAGGCGAAACTAAAAGAGTTTGCTGTTGAAGAGAAAGAGGTGTTGAAGATCCTCACGCAAGTCAATGTAACAAGACGACAGTGTGAAATTGTGAGAGAAGACTTTTTCAGTGTACAAATATGTATATATTATATATAACACGCTGGCAAAATCTTACATTTGTTAATTCTGTTACAGAGACTGGAATCCACTGATTTTGATGAGAAAAAGAAGATAAACAAAAGGAAGCAAATGATTCTGGAGGGAAAAGTGAGTCGTTTTATTGTAAATGCATGATTTAAACATATTACACTGTCCGAAAAGGTTATAGACTATCAGGAAAAAAATCAGGATTTTATGATGTGGTGCTATGTGGTGTATACTGTATATTATAATAATAAAACGTATTATTTTTAATGGTTGTTGTTATTTTTATTTAATTTATTATTATTACTATTTTATTTGATTTACTTGGTTTTTTGACCGCACACCTTCCAGGATCCAGATTTGGAAGAAAAAAGGAGAAACGAACAAGAAAAGATCAGAAGAAGAAAGAAGAAACAGAACAAAAAAGAGCCGAAAAAACACGAAGCAAAAACGACAGCAGTGTACTCTTGAAGTGTTGATATTGTACATTCAGATGTGTGTATATAACGTAAATGTGCTATAATTCAATGTATAAAACAATATCTGTGATCAGTATTCCAAAATAAACCGCATTTTATGAGCGACGTTGAGTGTGTTCCTATATGAATAATATATATATATATAAACTGTAGAGAGAGATAGATAGATAGATGATAGACCCTAGTCAACATTTGAAGTGTATCAAAAAAGTTCATCAAAGCTGTCCTAAGACATGAACGCATTTTGGTTTTAGGTTTTAGGACAACTTTGATGAAAGGTTTTGATCCACTTCAAATGTTGACTAGTGTATATATAGATATATCCAGTGTTGGGGGTAACACATTACAAGTAACGCGAGTTACGTAATCAGATGACTTTTTTCAAGTAACTAGTAAAGTAACGTCACGATGCAGAAACGGCAGAAAATGTTTAACGGTGGGACTTTTATTTTGATAACTTCCGCTTTCAACTGGAAGTACAACAGGAAACGTTTTGTAGACTCCCTTGTGTTGCGAAGTAGATTCAGAAGAAACCTTCGTGATTTAAGAATTTAGTCGATTAAATCTTTATTAGGGGTTTAAAAAGATTGATCAGTCGCTCAGCTGACATGGTAAGCGACGTCTGTAAACTCGCAGGCTAGTTAAACTGAAGCTCAGTTGCTGTGTTGAGTAGAGAAGTTGTAGCTCAGGTTACCGGTGGCTACCTCCCATTAAAAAGATAGGTAACGTTAGCACAAATCGATACCGAAAAATGCTACCTATCAGATTGTGCTACCAGCATCTTATTCATGTGGGTTGAGGCTTTTTTAAATGTCCATACCTACTCCTACCCTAAACCTAAACTTACCCTTAAAACAATGCAAATACATTTTTGGTAGCACAATCTGATAGGTAGCATGTTTCGTCGGTACACTGCATTGCTAATATACTTAAAGGGATAGTTCACCCAAAAATGAAAATTCTGTCATCATGTACTCACCCTCATGTCGTTCCAAACCTGTATGAGTTGCTTTCTTATGTCGAACATAAAAGAAGATATTTTGAAGATTGCTGGTAATCAAAGTTGGTGGTTGCCATTGACTTCCATAGTAGGAAAAAAAAAATACTATGGAAGTCAATGGCAACCACTAACTGTTTGATTACCAGCAATCTTCAAAATATCTTTTTTTACTCGCATCACTAAGCAATATTTGAGAATGGAATGACAACAATTATACTATTCATATATGATTCATTCTAGTCTAATTGCTGTTCTTGTGTTTCTTGAGTGCAATCTTTGTAAGTGTTTTTAAACTCTTTATTCAGTAGTCCCGAGTACACTTCATTCAGAGCACTAAAGAGAGTTTTCATGCGCTTTTATGTCAAATACTGTAAGCATCACCACCTTTACTGGTTCATTTGATTTCTTCTGCTCTCCTAGCTCCCGTTATCTTTACTGAAGACAGCACAGAACCACCCGATGGTGAGTATGAGGCAGCTCCCGTCGCCTGCGCACAGTTAAAGGAATAGTTTGCAGAACAGATCTGGAGAAATGTAGCATTATCACTGGCTCAGCAGTGGATCATCTGCAGTGAATGGGTGCCGTCAGAATGAGAGTCCAAACAGCTGATAAAAAATATCACAATAATCCACACGTAGAATAACAAAGAAGTTAGTATGCTTTTGTTTTCAGCTGGTGGAGTTAAAGAATGGTGAGACGTACAACGGCCATCTGGTCAGCTGTGACAACTGGATGAACATCAACTTGAGAGAAGTCATTTGCACTTCACGGGTAAATAGAACCTCTTTCCTCGAGATGAAGTGTTCTTCGGAATATTTGAAAAATTTTGATCGCATAAACATGATTGAGCCGTTATGGGTCAGTGTGTCTGTGCTGGAATGTAATGGTTGTTTCTGCTTGCTCTGATTTGCAGGATGGAGATAAATTTTGGAGGATGCCGGAATGCTACATCAGAGGAAGCACCATTAAATACTTACGAATCCCTGATGAGATCATAGATATGGTGAAAGAGGAAGTACTGTCAAAGGGACGTGGCCGGGGGGGCATGCAGCAGAACAAACCACAGGGAAAGGGCAGAGGAGGCGGACCTGGAAGAGGTGGTGGAGCCGGCAGAGGTTAGACACATTTCAGAGCCCTTGTTAAAGGAATAGTGTGACAAGTTTCATTTATGGGTGAACTTAAAGGGAAAGTTCACCCAAAAATGAAAATTCTTCACCCTCAAGTTGTTCTAAACCTGTATGAGTGTCTTTTTTTTTTTTGTTGAGCACAAAAGAAGATACTTTGAAGGTTGTTTGTAACCAAACAGTTGACGGTAGCCATTGGCTTGCGTAGTATGGAAGAAAATACTATGGAAGTCAATGGCTACCGTCAAGTATCAATCCCACTTTTGGAGCATAGACTCCAGAATGACATTCCCAACTTGGAAGTTGTAAATCTTGAATGCTTTGGAGCACAGACAAGTATGATCTCGTTTGAAAGCTGACAATAGTCTTCCAAAGAAAAGAAGAAAGTTACAGAAATGTTATATTTAATATAAAATGTCTTTTAAAATATGTTGGACTCTAAAACTGCTAGAAAATCAAAGCTATAAAACTAAACAAACTGTGTTCCAAATTTGAGGTTGATATCTCAAAAAAAAAAAAAAAAAGCTTTTAGTAATATTTTGTTTGGGCACAGTACCAATCTTTTCCACTAGATGTCTGTCAAGGTCAATCGGTGATCCATATAAGGACGTGAACAATATTTTTTCATATTTTCACACAATTTATGAAGTAGACATACTATTTAGAAGAAGTATGAGCAGTATTGTATTTAAATTCAACCTCTAACAAACAAATAAACTTAAAACATTTGCATGTAACAGTTTATGTTGGAGACATGTTGCTTTGTAAATCTTACTTTCAACATTTTCAGTAAAAAAAAAATAGAATGGATGTTGCCTTTTGAACACTTTGCATGAAAAATAATCATGGTTTACCAATTTTTCACATGATCGCACATTTATCTTGATTTCATAATAAAAGTCTGAACAGTGCTTAAAGTTTTGCTGCATGCTCTTGTAAAAAATTAATAAATAATTTTTGCTATATAATTAATTTAACGTATGAAATGTTGCAGTCACAGTTTTTGAAATGCATACACACAGTTGACAGACTTCTTTTATTTTTCTTTTGAGGTGTTTTTGGTGGCCGTGGGAGAGGCATGATGGGAACTGGCCATGGACAACAACAAGACAAAAAGCCTGGAAAACCACAAGGTGTCAAAAACCAACACTAGATATAAAACACATCATCTCATGTGTTAGTTTGTTTTACTCCTTTTAGACACGAGAGCACCTTTTCAGGTCTCTTGACATTCACACATTAACATCATAAGGTTGAGTATTTTCTTTTAAAGACTTATTTATGTGCTCAACAACTTTTTGCACTGAGTTTGTTGTAAAAGCCCTTAATGGAAAAACATATGAATTTTTACAGTCTGTCTCATACTTTTTCTCATACTGTCTCATCTACTTTCTCAGTTTGATCATCAACTAGAAAGAGTGAGCTTAATTTGAAACGGGCGTCCTGAATTTCTGTAAGGATTTTAATTTGGACAAGTGGATGTCAAGATGCTCTTCCATTTTCTCCAAATAGTTTTTATTTTCTGTTGCCTCACATTTTGGTGCATGTTTTCATATTGCTGTTTTAAGTTTTTTTGTTTAGTTTTTGTGCTTTAAAATACAACCATGGTGTAACTTGACTTGTGTATAGTGCACTTGTGAATAAATCTTTTTTGTTAAATATCGCAATTGCTGTGAATTTCTGTGTGAGCGCTCTTTTACATCTAAAGAAATGGAAACAAGTTGCATGTATTAAACATTCAGTAAAGTCTTAGGTAACTACAGTCTTTACAGATCTCCAAAACTACACTCTTGAAAGTAAATTTAGACTGTCTTTGGGAAGTCAACATAAAAATGGCTTGCCGAGAGTCATCTCTGCATTACAAGGGATAGTTCATTCATTCAAAACTGAAAATTGTCATCCCTTAGTCACCTTCAAGTTGTTCCAAAATTGTATGCAATTGTAAAAAAATAGGTTCTAAGAGACGTCAATGGTTTTATAAAACTTTTTTCTCTGCAATTTTATATATATTTTAACTGTGGCTCGAACCCAATACAACATAACTTCAGAAATATGATTACCCTCAGCATTTTTCCTTAACATAACTTCAGAAATATGATTACCCTCAGCATTTTTCCTTCCAGCCAATCAGTGGCGTTTTATTGCATGGACCTTACGTAGCTGACTGTTACCATGACAACAGCTGATTCAGCCTTATGCTGCGTTCAAGTCCTCCTGGGACGTTCGTACTTAAGAGTTGACAAGTCGTAATTACGACGTCAGGTGCGTTCAATTCAGTTTAGTCGGCACAAGATGGCGGTGTACCTTTTAATAAATTACAAGAAAATACAACAGGGTCTGTTAACGCTGCTTATAGAAAATGAAGAGCAAAGAATTCGCATCAGGTGTGTTTTGCGTTTTTAATATTTTTAAAAAGTAATTTATGAAGCCACTTTAATCTGTATCGCATAGAAACAGCGATACACAAAAAGTTTTATTTACAAAAAACGTATTTTTTGTAAATAAAAAGCCCGACAATGTCACTGCTTAATACCTATAAGTATTGTGATTTATGTTTTACTTTGGCAATCTCTGTCTCCCTCTGTAAGACATGCAGTTCTATAGTAAAAAAAATCGAAAAACACTGATAAATGATAGCATTTTTTTTTTTTTACTATTTTTAGGTCAACGCCAATAGTTTGAGTCTTTAGTTCCCTTTTGTGGTTGTTTTGTCAATGAAACAGCATCGAGTTATTCATTTTCCATGAAAAGCCAATAGACCTCAGTCAGGATAGCGCCACATTTTAGCGCCTTTTTTTACTGGAATGAAAACGAGGATGTGACGTATAGAACTACAGACCGTTCAATGCAGCATAACGTTAACTTGCGCCGCTGGTGTAGTGGTATCATGCAAGATTCCCATTCTTGCGACCCGGGTTCGATTCCCGGGCGGCGCACTACTTTACCCTGGCAACAAATTTGTGTGTATATTCTGT